CTCTCTCTCTCTCTCTCTCTCTCTCTTTTACCTTTTAAAATTCAAGTTTTTTAGTTGAATTAAATTTTTAAATAATACTTTGTTAAAACAAAGTGTAATTAATATATGCAAAAATTTAGTATTTAATTTTCTAAGTGTTGGACAAATAATTGTGAAAATTATAACATTAATCAAAAAACCATTTTATTATATAAATTGAATTTAATGTTTGGTACAAATGTTTACATTAATGAAAATTATTTAATTATAAATAATATTGGTATTAGTGATACCAAGAGATCTGAAATTTCATCTCTACTTCGATATATAACACCTAAAAATCAAACACTTTTTGATTATTGAAAAGAAAATTAATATTACATAAAGTCATTGTCAAAATTATAGTGATATTTGAATAAATAAATGAAAAATTATTATTAAATGTTTAAATATTTGTTGCAATAATTTAATAAATTTAATTAACGATCAAAGTATAGACCATAAGCGCACAGTTGTGCCGAAAATCGGGGCATTTTTTATAGTGAAATAATTTATTCCTATATAAAGCTTATATTAATATGAAGTCGAATATAGCGTTACAATGAATAGATTAGGTGATGTGACATAGAGTTAATCTCAATTAATACAGTAACGCCATATAAGAAATCATATTTAATTATAAGCATGGTCAAATGTACACCATTTAAAATGTGTGTTCGTGTAATGCATAAAGTGTGCTGTTATGGTATATAAAGTTTTTATACTATAAACCCATAGTAAATCTGATAAATATATCACTTAAATACTTTTTTGTTAAAAAGTTGTACTTTTGGTACTTAATAAGGTAAAGTACCCATGTTGCTATAACGCCATTTATGAGTTTAGGCCCTTTTTTAATTACAAACAAATTCATACATAATTAATAAATGTATAATTGAAAAAACTTTTATAGCAACTGATGTAATGAAAAATTTTTGTAAAATTGTTATAAAATTTTTTTTCTAATGCATTAGTAAATGATATCTTAAAGTATTTATGAAAAATTGAAAATGAGTTTTCATTAAGAGTACAAATAAAGGAGAATTAATTAATTAATTAATATAATATTCTGTATATAATTTGCAGTTTTGCTATAAATATTATTGAATAATAATAAAGGAATGAACACATCATTGGCAGTGAATTAATTGGTAATTAATTGGCAGTGAAAGGCGTTTTGAGCGTTCTTTTGAATCAAATTAATCAATAAATTCTCGATTAAAAACATTTGTTATTTTTACTCATATAATCCTCTTCTAAGTTATTAATCTTTATATTAAATCTCTTTTATATTTAAAAATCATTTTTTTCATTTGTTTTGCGACATAAAAACCATTTCGTGAATGCAATTAATAACCATTCATTTCCGCCTCTGTTTTATCTTTGGTTTGCTCTCAAATCCATTCGACTCTTCAATCAGTTTTGCCAAACTCTCGGGAGGTATCGTCCAAACGGGCACTGATTTCGTTTTGCTCTCTTCCACCTCTTTTTCGGGCACCCATACATCTGGCAGTCTATACCACACAACACATTACAAATATTGCATTAATATTATGTCATTAACTCGTAGTCTTAAGGAAAATGTATTTGTTTGCATGCGATGTGTAATTTGAACACTCTTTTCAATATCATATTTCCAGACATATCATTGACTTTGGGAATTAAAATAAGCATTTTTTCGGGCAATGGGTTCGCGAAACGAAAATCAATATTCAAATCATAACATAAACATCTCAATCAATCTTATTTTTGAGTAAATCTGAGACCATTGATAAAAATATGTAACCGAAGAGTACTTACATATTGTTTGGATACCATTTCAAGAGTACATTCACTTCTCCGTTATCGCTCTCACGGCGAGCGATGACCTAATCGTAAGAAATATCAATTAAAAACAGTTAATAAGTGGTCATAAAAATTGTTTTCATTTTCGTTTCATCCGAATCAACACAAATACAACACATAAACATGCATTCAAAACAAGCACTTATTTAATATACTATTGTGTATACTATATGTAGTCATGAATCGCTAGCGACGAGAATATCAGTTATCAGATGAGATATCAGGCAATAATGGGTTATTCGGGTATTTCTAATCTTTAGATCAATTTAAATCTCAATATTCACTGCCTATTGACTAATAATAAAAAATTACATTATTTTTGTGTTTCATGTTACTATGTATTTTTGCGGCAAAACCATAGCTATTGCCGACAATAGAAAAGCATTTAATATTCAATCAATTAATTTCCATATTCTTATATCATAACAATATATCATTTTTGTTTGCATTTAAAGAATTTCAATAAATCAATGTTTAATGTATTATTGAATGGTTTGATGGACTGATAAATTGGTTTTCGACAACAACAGGCAAATTGAAGACATTTTAAAACTAATGGAAATCGCACTTCGAGTAAGTGATGGCCTCATGAGGTACTGTACAGGCAGAGGGAGAGAGCGAGAGTTGTTGTCGATATAATGGGATTTTAATATTTTATGATAGGGTAGGTCTGCCCTATGGTTGGTCTCTATGCCTGTGCTTTAAACGCAAACCGTGTTTAAAGCCCTCAGGAAATGTATTGGAGCCTCAATTTAACAACCCATGGATGGCTCACAGACAACAATAGCCTGTGAAGCAGTGATTGAGCGCTGGGTTTGTGGCCCTTTCCACAGGTTCACCAGAATTTGCAAATAATTTTTCAAACAAAAATATGCATTTCTCCAAATATTTTAGCCAATACTCATTTTTAACTCATTTCCCTTATAATAGGCGACTAATGATTGAGTTTCTAATCTCTAATCTGTAAACTATTTTTCAATTAAAAAATGCTAACATTTTTGTTAAACAATAAAAGCATAGAAAATCTCAACGCATATGAATTTTAGTGCTTTAAATATGTGAGAAATGTTTCAATGATTTCATGACTTTGGTTATCATTAAATGGCATTAATCTTGAAATACATTTGTATTTGTGTGAGAGATAGCGTGTGTTTAATGAGAGCAACACATACTTGACTATTGAATGTGACGGTAGAGTTACCACTGATGTCGAGACCAGTCTTATGGTTCAATTGAATCAATCCATACCTCACGTGTTCCATAACACACTCGTCGAAGTAGTCTTCACTACATTTCACTGCAATAAACAGATATAACAGACAATCAGTGACAACACATTGGGGGACAATAGGGGTGTTTGGGAACAGACCATAAAAACATTTCTTCTTGAGTTTTGTGGCGGACTTTTTGCGTTTAAGTATTTTGTTTGGGGTTCCGTTGGTTCCGTTCACAGCACCGCAAAAGTGTTGACAACTGTTAGAGTCCGTTGACATCGACTTACATCTCAGGGCAGACATCGGGTCGCGCGACGTCTGCTGGAGGTGGAGCTCGAATGGACTCAAGCCCTGCATCGACTGCAGGCACGGATTCAGAACACTATTCGCTGGACAACAGCCGTTTGGACAGGAGTTGGTCACATCGGATGAACAGTTACTATTGGAGTAGTCGTGACAGGGCTTGAAATGCGAGTTCACGTGTCTCTCGAGCATTGATTGTTGTTTGAAGCGATGGCCGCAGCCCTCGACTATACACTTGAAAGGTCGCGGACCCGAGTGCTGCTCCAACACGTGCCTCTCCAACCAATTCCTCGACAGCGAGCCCTTCCCATACACTTTACAGCCCTCCCAAAGACACACATACTGTTGATGAGAGTCCACTTTCTTGAGGCCATTGGTGGCCGTACTGTCTGTTTGTTTGCATTGGTTGGCAGTAGTGGTAGTGTTGGCACCGTTGGGACCATTGGTCCAGTTGTGTCTCTGCTGGTGATAGGGCTGGAGCTCGACGTGTATCTCGCGGATGTGGTCGACGAGGTCGTCGTAAGCCCCGGGCCAATCACAGTGCGTCCATTTGCAGCAATACTTGCTTACATTACTATCGGCACCACTACTAGTGCTGTCGGCAGTGCTGTCCGTATTACTGGTCGTCTCGTTATTACTCTCATTATTACTGTCGTTGTTGTCATTGTTGTCGGCATTACTGTTGGCGTCACTATTGCTCTGCACTTCGATCTCGATCTCGATGTCGATGAGACTCAGTTGACTCAACTCACTCTTCACCACTTCCTTAACCAACAATTTTTGGTTCACTTGTTTGAAGAGTGCGTTAATCAGTGGTGTCTTCGTGTCGACCACATCGGCCACAACACCGCCGCCGACCGCAACCATACCGTTGTGTCCCTCCGTTGAGTTGATCTCTAATCTCATCGCTCGCTCTCTCACTGTCTCTCTGTGTCTCTCTCTCTCGCACTTCACTCAACACAAGCCGTGTCTCACTTTTTCAGTGGCAGAACAATGACTGCGAGTACTCTCTCTATACTCTCTGCCAATGCTATTGAATAGACATGTATTGAATGAACGCTTGTATACAATCATAATATGGGAGAAAGTCTTTAAACCCTCACAATATCCTCCCATTCATACCATTCCTCCCATTCCTCACAATAATAACGTCAATACAGACACACAATGACTGCATTGACGGCTGAAATGGCATTTAAACGGCATTTAAATGTCGCGATTAATGCTTACGACAAGTTTTTTGCTATACAATCAATTGAATGCAAACTAGATTTAAATCACACAAACATTTTTTCCGATAAATATTTTATAGTTAACACAATACTAATTACAATTGCATTGCGTTTACGTAATAACATGTAAAATGTTAGCTTTTTTACCGATAAATAATGGTTTGAATATTAAGTTCACTCTTTTGTACGCTAATTGTGGCCTATAATAGACAGTCGCTGTTTGTCTTGCGATGTAATTGTCATTAATGACTGATAATGTCTTCTTCGCTACTCTCGGATCCGATGGGAAGCCGTTACGCAACTCGAGTGACAGTTCATACCTATCCCTATATTGTAGGCCAAACACAACTATCTCTTACCTAAAACCCACTGCTTTTGTTTGCCTATAGAATAGTCTCGTCTCAAAAGGTATAAAAACTGAGTACAGAATCGCAAAGATATTATCATTTCGATTGTGAGCCCTATTTATAGATACATTTCTTCTAGAAGTGAAGAAAAACTTTTTTCATTTAATCCATCGTTTCGTTCGTTTGTATTTTGTTTAGTTTTTTGCTGAGAAATTCACGAATAATTCATTCAATTCTTATGTTTTAAATTAGTTTTACATTTCTCTTTGAAGANCGTTATTATTGTGAGGAATGGGAGGAATGGTATGAATGGGAGGATATTGTGAGGGTTTAAAGACTTTCTCCCATATTATGATTGTATACAAGCGTTCATTCAATACATGTCTATTCAATAGCATTGGGAGAGTAGAGAGAGAGTACTCGCAGTCATTGTTCTGCCACTGAAAAAGTGATACACGGCTTGTGTTGAGTGAAGTGCGAGAGAGAGACACAGAGAGACAGTGAGAGAGAGCGATGAGATTGGAGATCAACTCAGCGGAGGGACACAACGGTATGGTTGCGGTCGGCGGCGGTGTTGTGGCCGATGTGGTCGACACGAAGACACCACTGATTAACGCACTCTTCAAACAAGTGAACCAAAAATTGTTGGTTAAAGATGTGGTGAAGAGTGAGTTGAGTCAACTCAGTCTCATCGACATCGAGATCGAGATCGAAGTGCAGAGCAATAGTGACGCCAACAGTAATGCCGACAACAATGACAACAACGACAGTAATAACGAGAGTAATAACGAGACGACCAGTAATACGGACAGCACTGCCGACAGCACTAGTAGTGGTGCCGATAGTAATGTAGGCAAGTATTGCTGCAAATGGACGCACTGTGATTGGCCGGGCAGTTACGACGACCTCGTCGACCACATCCGCGAAATACACGTCGAGCTCCAGCCCTATCACCAACAGAGACACAATTGGACCAATGGTCCCAACGGTGCCAACACTGCCAACACTACCACTAATGCCAACCAATGCAAACAAACAGACAATACGGCCGCCAATGGCCTCAAGAAAGTGGACTCTCATCAACAGTATGTGTGTCTTTGGGAGGGCTGTAAAGTGTATGGGAAGGGCTCGCTGTCGAGGAATTGGTTGGAGAGGCACGTGTTGGAGCAGCACTCGGG